CAAGGAGGTGCGGAAGTCTCCCGAATGACTTTTCGCCCCGGGTACCCATGTATCAAAATAAAAGCCTCTTGCTGTTTGCATCCGAACGCCTGGGCTCGTTGATCCTTGGGCAGGGGTCTCTCAGACGAAAGATACCCTCCGGGGATCTTTCAAGAGGAGCCCTGAGTTGCCAGCCTAGAGAGGCATGCACAGCATCCAGACCAGAGCGGCGCCCCCAGGCGCCAACTCAACCTAAGCGCACATTCTCCAGGCCCAGAGCAGAGCACTCAGCCCCTGGCCCAGAGACTTGCTGGGTTCTCCTCTCACCTTCCCGAACAGAACTGTGTGCCCCAGGATACCAGACTGAGTTTCCCTGTTGGGAGAAAACCCCACAGCTAGGGAATCAGCAGGATCTTCAAGAGGGCTGTACCTGGAAAACAGTGTACCAACAACAACAACAGCTTACTAAATTCAAAACGAGAAACCCTGCAGCTGGGCAACTGTCTTGAGAACTTCTACGGGTGAGAGGAGAGCCCCCCCCCCCAACTAACAAGACCACAGCTACTATTCAGGTCTATACACCTGAGGTGAGCAGTGGCAATTCCTGAGAAACACTGGGTTCCCTAGTAAGATGGAGGGGGGTTCTCCCTGACATGAACTCAGTGGCTGGCTCTTTGATCACCTCCCCCTGTGGGGTGCAGCCTTGCCAGGCCACAGAGGAATATGATGATACCAGCCTTGATGAAACCTGATAAGCTAGGGTGAGATAGATGGGGAGAAGGTCCTCCCCTATCAGAGGACTAGGGAAAGGGCATAGATGGAGTAGAGGAAGGGTGGATGGGACTAGGTGGAGACAAGGGAAGGGGCTGCAATGGGGATACAAACTGAATAAATTGTAATAAATAAATATATAAATAAAATTAAATTAAAAAATAATAAAAACAAAGAAATAAACGAAGAGTTCAAAATGGTGCAACTACTTTGTGAGTTTAGTAATTTCTAAAATAATGGAATAAACATGGTGTGACCTTACACCAATTCAACTCTTTGCTATCTACCCAAGAGAACTGAGATAATATATATTCACAAAAGCATAGCTTTTACATGTTTTGTAAAGCTTAGAGCTAATCCAGATATCTAAACTTTATTAGGAAGCAGACTAGTTCTAGAGATCCATGCACTGAAACAGTTAGAATGAAAGAGAAAATTTTTTTCACACATGTTGTAATACTTTTAGACTCTAAAACTTCAATTTTAGTAGTGGGAAGTAGCAGATCATGCTTCTAATCCTAGAATTTGGCAGGGAAAGGCAGGAGGATTGTTACAAGTAGATATAGTGATACCCTGCCTCAAAGAGCAAAACAAAACAAAACTTGATGCTAGCTGTAAAGTTGTAAGCCCAAATTATCACACTTTGTAAATATGACTCTTTGTATAATTAATGTTGACATACCATACAACTCCATGGTATAGAATTAGCATGAATCACTTATCTGCTTGTCAGATATTAAGTAGGTTTTTTTTCCCTTTTTCAATACAGCAAATGATGCTGTGATAGTCTTCTTTATGACATGGTATTTGTGGCCAAATGTTATTGAATGGGTGTGCATGTTATCAAGCTATCAATAAATATTGCCAAAGGGCCCTTCCTTCCAGTTTGCTCAGACAAAACTCCCAGGAACAGAGATCTTTGGGACAAAGGCTAACTTTCTCAAGCATACCAATTCTTCTTTCCTAATACTGCTGCCCCAAAGAGTATTCTCCCAGGCCCTGAAATGTAGGTATGGTTTAATACATTTGTATTGAAAAATGTAATAAACCACAATAATGGACTTAAAAGTCATATGGTCATATCAATAGATGAATAAAAAGTCTTTGACAAAATCCAACATGCCTTCATGCTAAAAGTCTAAGAGAATGTATGATGAGTGGGAATATACCTCAACATAATAAAAGTTATATATAAGAAACCCATTGCCTATATTATCCTAAGTGAAGAAAAAATTGAAGCGATTCTACTAAAGTAATAATGCCACAGAGATATCCACTATCCCCACTCTTTTCAATATTGTGCTCAAAACACTATCTGGGGCAATAAGGCCAAAAAAAAAAAAAAAAAGGAAATTAAAGTGATATAAATAGGAGAAAAAGAAATCAAATTAATCCTATTTCAGTTGCCATGATATACATTAGAGACCCCCAAAACTTCTAGAAATGATAAAAAAAAAATAGCGATGTGTCAAGATACAGAATCAACTTGCACAAATCAATAGACTTTCTATATACCAACAACTTATAAAGAGAAAATATATTCATAATAGCTTCAAAGAAACTAAAATATCTAGGAATAAATCTAACCAATTGCCGTAATCACTGTTATATTGCTGTGAGGAGGCACTATGGCCAAGGCAACTCTTATAAAAGAAAACATTTAATTAGGGGCTTACCTTTGTTTTACTAGTTTGCAAGACCCCAAAAGACCACTGACCACACCAGGACTCAGAAATCACCTGCAAAAGCAAAGAGCCTTTACTGAGGAGTTAAGCTTGGTCTCCCAGCATGAACTGACACAGCAGTCAGAGGCCAGCAGCCCCTAGCCTAGAAAGAAGCTGAATTTTATAGGGGTAAAGGGCTTCTAGACTTGGTGGTTACATGATTGGGTGAGGTTTAGCAAGAGCAGACTTGTTATACAGCGATAGGCAAGTTGGAGTAACTATTTTGGCAACCACAAGGACATATAATTGTTTTAGCAACTACAAGGACAGCAGTCATTTCTGTTTCCTGACTGAATGGTGTCAGAGTGGGCACACTGTGTCTTCTGGAATGTTATGGTTTCCCGTAAGTAGAAACACATTTTTCAGGGTCTGGGGGTGAGATATAGGTCAATTACAAGATGGAGGCTAGTACCAAAAAGGAGTCTGCTGTGCTCATGTTCTTCACCTTCAGTTTCAATTTAATCCATTATCATCATAGTGAGGACCATAGTGGCATGCATGCAGGCACTGGAGCAGTAGCTGAGAGTTATATCCTGATCTGTAGGCAGAGGGGGAGGGACATGGGTTTTTAAAACCTCAAATCCCACCACTGGTGACACACTTTCTCTAACAAGGCCACACCTGCTAATCCATTAAAGGGTTCCACTCCCTGTGAATAAGCGTTCAAATACATGAGCCTATGGGAGCTATTCTCACTCAAGACACCACATCAAGGAAGTGAAGGACTTCTACAATAAAAATTTTAACTTCTGAAGTAAGAGAAAAAGACACTAGAAAAACAAGATATGTCATGGCCATAGATTGGTAGAATTAATATTATCAAATGATCATTTTACAAAAAGCAATTTATAGATTCAATGCAATCCCAAATAAAATTCCTAATTAATTCTACATGACTAGAAAAGGCTACCTTAAAACTCACATGGAACCACAAAAAAAAAAAAAAAAAAAACCCTCAGGTAACCAAAACAATTCTAAGCAAAAGGACAATTCTGAAGGATTTACAATTCCAGATCTTAAGTCATATTACAGAGTCATACTAATAAAGACACTGTGGTACTGGGACAAAAACAGGCATTTAGACCAATGAAACAAAACTAAAAACATCCAACCAACCATTTACAATTTGACAAAGATGCTCACAAAAAAGAAAGCATCTTCAACAAATGGTTCCAGAAAAAACTGAATGTCCACATGAATAATGAAATTAGAGCCATATCTATCACCTTGAACAAAAACTAAGTCCAAATAAATCAAAGACAAACCTGAAACCTAAAACCTGAAACCCTGGAACTGCTAGAAGAAAATATAGGCAGCAGCCTCCATAATATCTATGCAGGAAAGGACTTTCTGAATAGGACTGCATTTGCACAATAATTAAGGATGACAGTTGACACGTGGGGCTTAATAAAACTAAAAGTCTCCTGTATAGCTAATGAAAAAAAATCAGCTGAGTGATAAGAAATCCTACAGAATGGGAGAGAATCTTTTCTAGCTATAGATCTGACCAAAGATTCATATCCAAATATTTAAAGGCCTCAAAAACAAGAGCCAAGAAAACAAACAACATAATTAAAAGATGGGCTACAGATCTGAACAGTTTTCTCAAATGAAGAAATGATTTTTTTAAAAAGTGTACACCATCTGATAACAATTAAAGATATATGAATTAAAACTATTTTGAGATTTTATCTTTACCCAGACAGAGTGATTAAGATCAAGAAAGCAACTGAAAAACAAATGCTGGAGGGAATATGAGGGAAAGGGGAACACTTGTTCAATGTTGGTGAGATTGAAAACTGGTACAGCCAGTGTTGAAATCAGTGTGGAGAATTCAAAAATCTACAAGTAAATCTACCGTGTGATACAACGGTACCACTTCTTGGCATATGTACAAAGGGCTTGACATCCTATTCCACAGATACTTGCTCTGCCATGTTCATTGCTCTAGTCACAATAAGTAGAAAACTGAAACAACCTCAATGCCCTGCAACTGATGAGTGCATAATGAAATATACTACATAACTCTAATTAATTAGCCAATCTCATTTAAAGAGTGTTGATGCCACCTCTGCTAGTACCTGTATACATGGCAGTGACTTTTCTAACAGGTCCCCATCTCTGGTGACAGGTGTTAGAAACAATGCCTTAGAGAGGAGGAATTAAGAAAAAGATGGTAGACAGGTCTGAACCAGTCAAGTGGATCTTGCCAATGAGCAGGACAGTCTGTTAGCAAAAACACCTCACCCTGAAAAGGCTATATAAGAAAACATGTGACATAAAAACCCAAGGACCTGGCATGGTTATCCCCCGAGGATGTCACAGCACTCATACACTATTGGCTGAAAATGGGAACATAAGATCAGTAAGAACTGGAATTTGATGACAAAATAGAATTCTCACAACCATGAAGCAGGTCAAGAGCTTTCAGTTCACTGTGAAGGCCACAATGAGACTCAAAGGACATTTCAAGAGGGCTGGATCCTCATTGGCCCTCCTGGCCCTGCTAGAGCCCTATTCTGCCACATTACTGGTTCTTGAGAAGACAACATCACTGGTTAGTAGATTCATCTTTGTTGTACATTCTGATTAATGTGACTAAATATACATATCCCATTTTACCCCTGACCTAAGTGTACAGTTCCATTACTAGGATTACATTCATAGTGGTGTGGAACTGTTACCACTTCCTATCTTCTCTAATTGAAATACCATTCTCATTGAATGCCATCTCCTACTTCTACGTGACCTGGTTGCTAGTACCCACCATTCTGCTTTCAGCCTTGGCAGAGTTAACTTGATCAGGAATCTCCTTAGTGGAATTACATGGTGTTTGGCCTTTTCTAACCAGTGTATTTCACTTGTCTTCAAGCTTCATCCATGTGCTACCTACGTGAGAAATTCTCTCCTTACTAAGTCTAGAAATGAGAATAATATTCTATCACCTGTACAGTTAGCTCTTAATTTACCATGGTGGTATAGTTTGCAAGTGCCCTGTCCCTGCGAAGGGCCTTGTATTGAAGCATTGGTCCCTAGCTGGTGGTGCTACTTTGAGAGATTTTATACACTTGAAGTTATAGTATGTTTGAAGAGGAAGTAAATCCCAGGGCATATGTCTTTGAAGATATTACCCCTCATTCATCTTCATTTCTCTGTCTCTGGATTCTGATCACTATAACTTGAGTTGTCTTTGCAATTTGATCCCACCATAGTCATGGTCTACCCTACTGTATATCCTGAATCTAAACAGCCAATGACTATAGTTTCAAATCTCTGAAACTGAACCAAAGTACATAATTCTGGACCCCATTAATTCCTTCTCTGGGATATCTTGGCAACAGTCATAGAAACTAACCAACAAAGAAGCTTTAAGTTGTAGAGTTTAAACTTTGTTGTTTTGTTGAAAAACACATTATGTGAAATAGTTAATATGTTCAATATAAACCATACTTGAATTTTGATTTTAGATCTTAAACTGTTCTATTATTGTCCAAAAAAAGTGATGTTCTGTTCTGGACTACCTGCCCAGGCTGCTGTTTCAGGTTTCAAAGCTCTTAGCTCAGACATCTTTCCAGAAGAATATATATAACTGCATTAAAAATTCACCCAAGATTACACTGTTTGCTTTTGTGCCTCACCCTTTATGGTACAGTATTTTGAGGATCTCTACAGGTTCTTCTAGCCCCCTTCACATGTAGTAGAGGCCTTTCTTCTTGTCCCTTGTGATTTACCTGACCCCCATCACTCCTCCTTTCTACCTGACTGGCCATTTGATCCTTGGAACTTTTGATTCTGTTAGAGGTTTTAGCAGCAGGACCAAGTCTGGGACAAAGTGTTAGTTTGTTGAATCTACTGATGCCAGTTCAGCACAAAACGAGCTCTGTGAAAGGAGCTATTGCCCTGGGAAAGTCTGCACTTCCTCCTCTCACTGGCCTTAACTGACAGAGGCAGCCTGCTAATCTAATTCAAGCATTTGTGTTCATTTCCTTCTAAATACTGTTACCATAAATGCACCATAGTTGCCAGGTACAGAAAAACAAAAGAAAGGAGAATGGGACTTGAAATCCAGTCTGGGCTCCAGTATGAGGCCAGTCTGATCTACATATTGAAGCCCAGATCAGATCAAACAAGCAAAGCACAGCAAAGAGAACTTCTTCCAGGACACTTAATGTATCGGAGCCAGCCTAGGCACCTTTCAAGATCTGGTCTCAAAACGTAAATTGAATGAGTTCAGGGATAAAGTTCAGTGGTACAGTGCTTTCCTAATATGCATGGTGCCCTAGCTTCAGTCTGCACTTCCAGAAAAAAAATCACTGATTGAGAATCATCCAGTTAAAGAGAATGTTGCCAGAGTTGCTCTGATCATTAGCAGAAACTTCCTTTATCACACATCAAAATTCTCTCCTATTTCCTTCTATACAGTATTTCTAACAAAAACAAACCTCTGACCCGTCAGTGTTCTGCACAGATGGAATTTGAGGTCTTCTGCTCATCATTCACCTGGACTTTCACCTGCTATTCACCAGCAGTTATACCCTACATTCTGTCCTAGAAATTCAGGGCATGTCTCAGGAACATAGTGATATCTTATCCCTCAACTTCAGCCACTTAGACCCTTCCTTCTGGTTGAGATCAGAGAAATGTCCTTAAAGAACTTCTTCTGTACCCCTGTGGCTTCATCACTCCAGTTTCTGCTTAAGCATATTTTATCATATCTTCTGCTGTTAGCTCTGGCGACCTTCTTTACATTACCTATTATAAGACATGCAGCAAGAGCAATTTATGGGACAAACAGTTATTAAGAGTAAAACTGTGTTTTATTTAAAATCTGAGAGTGACGATGCCTTCAGAGATGTTTCCAGGAGTTACAAATGATTAACTTTGTAGATAGTCAGCATCAGGCAACTAAATTCCCTTGTGTCCCATCTTGCAGTCTAGCCTTGAATTTTCCTCTCAGGGCACCAGAAAGGACGTCTTGCACACAGTACTTGATGATAAAGCACACACACACACACACACACACACACACACACACACACACACAAACACTTTTGAGGGCAGGGATTTAGATAGGTGGTAAAGAATTTGACTAGCTTGCACAAGTCCCTGAACTCTCTTTCCAGGACAAAACAAATAAAAACCAACCAACAACAAAAACAACTGAACGACGATCATCAAGACCACCACAACAAAATAATTTTAAAAAGTCACGTAAGTCAATGAGGTGGTCTCTCTTTCATCAATTACTAATTAATAAAATTCCTTACAGGCTTGCCTATAGTCTGATCCCATGGAGGTATTTTCTTAATTAAGGTTCCTTCCTCTCAGATGACTTTAGCTTGAGTCAAGTTAACATAAAACTAGCCAGTAAAACTGACTCCTTGTCAACATGACACACAAACACATCACTATTCAAACTATTTCTTTCTCTGATTCCTGGTCATCTAGGCAGTGTCAGTCATGGGCCATGAGTTGCACCGGTCATGGTTTGGCCACTCCCATGAGTTCTGTGCCACCACTGCCCCAGCAAAGGAAGGAGAGCCTAGAGACTCAGGATAGAACCAAACATAACTGACAAAAACAAGGCAGTGGAATGATTCCTAATGATATTCTGCTATACTTGTAGATCAGTACCTAGCCCATGTCATCAGAGGGGTGTCATCAAACAATCAATGGGAGGAGATGCAGAGATTCACAGCCAAATACTAGGCAAAGCCAGGGGAACCCCACAGAAGAAGGGGGGATGGATTGTAGGAGCCAGAGGAGTCGGGGAAATCAGGAGAACATAGCCCACAGAATTAACCAAACAGGGTTCACAGGGGCTCACGGAACAGAAGAAACAAACTTGGACCCTGTATGGTTCTGAGCTAAGCCCTCTGCATATACGTTATGTTTATGTATGTTAATACTCACTAGGTATTCTGGAACTCCCAACAAGGTGAGTGGTAGGTGTTTCTGACTCTTTTGACTGTGCTTGGAACACTTTTCCTGCTACTGTGTTACCTCTTCTAGCCTTGGTATGAGGATTTGTGCCCAGATTTATTTTATTTCATTAGGCCATGTTCTGTGGCTATCTCTGGAAAGCTTTCTTTGTTGTTGTTGTTGTTGTCTTTGTTGTTGTTGTTGTTGTTGTTGTTGAAAAGAAGCAGTGAAGGAGTTGAGAGGGAAAAGGAGAGGTAGGAGGAGGAAATGGGAGGAGTGGAGGGAGGGGAAACTGCAGTTTGGATGTAATGTGTGAGAGAAAAATAAAAGTTAAAAGAAAGAGACTTTCCTTTCTCATTTGCCCCATTATTTTTCACATTAAAAATAAAAATAACTTTTAAAATCTTACAATCTTTACGAATTCAAATACATTGAAAGGTCAGTTCCTTTAAAATATCCAGTCTCTTTAAAAATCCAGAATCTCCTTTAAAAGTTAAAAATCCCTCAACTGTGGGCTCTTGTAAAAATCAAAATTAATTAAATACATTCTTACTTCAAGACAGAAGAATCAGGGAACAGTCACAATCAGATCAAAGCAAAATTGGACTCCAGCCTTGTAAATCACTCAATGCACAATGTCTGGGATCCATTTGTGATCTTTTGTCCTCCTCTAGCGATTGGGATCACATCTCCAGCTCCACCCTCAGCAACACACACAACTTGTCTTCTATGCTAAGGCCAGCTCCACTCCACTGCTGCTGCTTTTCTTGGTGGTTGTCCTATGGTACTGGCATCTCCAAAACTCTGGAGTCCTCTGCTGCAACTGTGCTATACTTTCACCAATACCTGCACCTCTCCTAGGCTCTCTTCATGGTGTCAAGCCTCAACTTCTACACATGACCCCTTAAGTCCTGGTCCTTCAACTGCTACTGAGGCTGCACCTTCACCAACAGACTTCCATGGTCTCTCACAATTCCAAGCCTCAGCTGCTCTCCAAGACCCCTACCACTGGATTGACTCTTATACTACAAACCTTAGTTGTCTCTAGAATATAGCTTCTGGATGTTGACTCTCAAGAAAAACTTCCCAGAAGATTTCACCTCAGTGATGTTGGTCTCTTTTTCACCACTAATTTCTCAGCTCCAGCTAACCAGAACCAATTGTCCTAATAAAACAAAGTTTTTCCTTTAGTGGTGTGAGTCTCTTCTATTTTTTTCCAAATCTTTATTTTTTTATATTGATTACAGTTTATTCACTTTGGATCCTAGCTGTAGTATCCTCGCTCATTCCCTCCAAATCCCCGCCCACCCTCTCTCATCTCTTCCCTGCCCCTCTCTAAGTCCACTGATATAGGAGGACCTCTTCCCTTTCCACCTGACCCTAGTTTATCAGGTCTCAAAAGGGCTGGTTGCATTATCTTCCTCTGTGGCCTAGCAAGGATCCTCCTACCCTCAGGGGGGAGGGGTCAAAGAGCGAGACACTGAGTTCATGTCAGAGATAATCCCTGTTCCCCTTACTAAGGTTCCCATTTGGATACTGAGATGCCATGGGCTACATTGGAGCAAGGATTCTAGGATATATCCATGCATGGTTCTTGGTTGGAGAATCAATCTCAGAAAAGACCCCTGTGCCCAGAAATATTTGGTCCTTGTGGAGCTCCTGTCCTCTCTATGTCTTACTAAATCCCCCTTCTTTCATACGATTCCCTGCACTCTGCCCAAAGTTCAGTTATCTGCTTTGATACACTGCTGGGTAGTCTTTCAGAGGCTTTCTGTGGTAGCCTCCAGTCTTGTTTCTTGATTTCTTCTTCTTCCAATGTCCATCCCATTTGTCTTTCTAAATGAGGATTGACCCTCTTGCCCAGGGTCCTCCTTCTTGTTTAGCTTCTTTAGGTGTATAGATTTTAATAAAGCAACAAATCAAGCAATCCAATTAAAAAATGGGGTACATAACTAAACAGAATTCTCTATAGAGGAATATAGAATGGCAGAGAAACACTTAAAGAAATGCTAAATGTCCTTAGCCATCAGGTTGATACAAAAAAAAAACTTGAGATTTCACTTTACACCCATCAGAATGGCTAAGATAAAAAACTCAAGTGACAACACATGCTGGAGAGGTTGTGGAGAAAGGAGAACCCTCCTCCATTGCTGGTGGGAATGTTAATTTGTACAACCACTTTAGAAATCAATCTGGCAAAAAAAAAAAAAAAGCAATATGGCTCTTTCTCAGACAGTTAGGACTAGTGCTTCCTCAAGATACAGCTATACCACTCAGGCATATATCCAAAATATATTAAAGTACATAACAAAGACATTTGTTCAACTATGTTTGTAGCAGCTTTATTCGTAATAGCTAGAACCTGGAAACAACCCAGATGTCCATCAACAGAGGAATGGATACAGAAACTGTAGTACATTTACACAATAGAATATTACTCAGCAATTAGAAACAAGGAAATGATGAAATTTGCAGGAAAATGGTGGGATCTAGAAAAGATCGTCCTGAGTGAGGTATCCCAGAAGCAAAAAGACACACACAGTATATACTAACTTATAAGTAAGTCTCTTATTTTCTCCAGGTATAGACAAAACATGTTTTCTTTCCCTTTTCACTTGTCACATTTGGACATCTGGATTAGCTCGAAGTTTTATGTATCATGAATAATGAATACATGAGCATGCAGACATAAAACTTTGTGTTGATAGACATTCTTGTTTCTCTTTAATCTATCTTAAGATCAGAAGCAAAGGCTACTGGTCCATGCTGAGAAGAAAGCTGCCGGAAGAGGAGACATACCAACTAAGAGACTACCTGTCCTTCAAGCAGAGGTAAGTATAGTCACCACCTTGGTGGAGAACAAGAATCAGCTGGTAGCAATTGCCCATGAGGTAGACCCCATTGAGCTGGTGGTTTTCCTACTTGCCCTGTGTTGAAAGATGGGGGTCCCCTACTGTATCATCAAGGGAAATGCCAGGCTGGGGCGGTCCACAGGAAAAGTTGCACCACTGTTTCCTTCACAGAGGTTAACTTGGAAGACAAGGGTGCTCTGGCAAAGATGGTGGAGGCTATTAGAAACAATTACAACTATAGATATGATGAGATCTGCCACCACTGAGGAAGCAACGTCCTGCGTCCTAAACTGTGGCTCACATTGCCAAACTGGAAAAGGCAAAGGCTAAAGAACTCACCACTCAACTGAGTTAAATGTACAATGCTAAGTTTTCTGTACATAAATATAATTACAAAAATAATGCTTAAGTGAAAGGCACTGAACCTAAAAGATTACAATTTGAAAGCAGACTCTACTTGCATCCATAATGTTGTCATTTATCTTTGTAGGGGGAATATAGCATAAGTTATGCAACTGTCAAACCTAAAATGTTTTCTCATTTTTAGTATAAAAAATAGTGCTGAGTTGACCACACTGTTTTCTAAATAATTGTAGCCAATGTCAGAGGGGGTGTAATATTGCCCTTATCTGAGTTCTTGCAGACCACAATTTCTCATTTGTCTTCCTGGTAGTTTTTTCCCCTGAGGATACTGTCCCTGGTCTGCATAACTCATTCTCTTACTGTCTTTTATTTCTTTGCAGTTTCCCAGTGTTCACAGTCACCATGATGCTACTCAGAAAAGACACTGTTCTCCAGATAACAGGGTTTGCTGCAGCCATCCTTGCAGTGTCTCCATGGGCTTTCCTCAGTGGCAAGTATGCTACTTTCAAGAAACCATGAACCCCAAGCCCAGTATGGCCTTAGTAGGAATGTGGAGAACCTATATCTACCACTATAACAACTACTCCTGCAATGTCCAAGTATGTCACCAATACACCTACCATGACTCCTTCATCCCTTTGGAAATTCAAGTACCACAACACCTGGTTCTGGAGTCTAGCTTTTGGGGGATGATTGGGAGAGCCTCTAAAATTGTTGCTCTTTGGAATTTGTACACAGAGAAGGCACAGGAGAATACCACCCACAGTTTATTTTGCCTTCCAGGGATTCTGAACATCCTTGCTAGCAGCTTTGTCTCTTTTTTGCTGTATTGTACAATTATTAATCCATCATATGCAAGGAAGATATTGCTTTCCCACTATCTTTCCACATGCCCACCTTCCCAGATACCCAGAAGGCTGGAAATTCCCTGGCTGTGGCAACCCTTTCTTCATTCTTCTTTGAATTAAGTGGTACAATTTTCTTATCTTTCTCTTTTCACCTGGACACTACAGCTCATTCTAAGATGTAAAAGCAAATTACTGCTATGTTACATAGCTTTGAAAATTCAAAATTACTAGGAATTATAGCAAGTATTCTTCAGATGTCCACCTAAAACTTCTGCACTTAAAACCATGTCTAAGATGTAAAAATGGGCCTCCTATTATTGTTTTATACTTTTTTGACTGGAGTATGGATTTTCATTAAGTAAAATCTTGCCCACTTGGTCTTATGAAATCTAAATTTTATTTATTTTTTAAGTTAATTTTTTAATTTTTTGTATTAGTTACAATTTATTAACTTTGTATCCCAGCTGTAGCCCCTTCTCTCATTCCCTCCCAATCCCACCCTCCCTCCCTCATCTCACCCCTGCCCCTCTCTAAGTCCACTGATAAGAAAGGTGCTCCTCCCCTTCCATCTTACCCTAGTTGATGAAGGTAAATAATTAAGGAATACAGTATATATGGAAATGAGTGTCATAACATATCAGCTCCTCACATCATTCATAAAGATGAAAGCATGTTTGTTTCCTATGTCATGATAAAAGCATCTCTTCACCAGATTAAATTTCTCAAACTATGTTGAAGTCAACAGATTGCTATAAGGAATCTCTCCAGTGCAGTATAAGAATCAATACTTTTAAAGACTTCCCCGTGTTCCCTTGCTTTCTCCTTCAGTCTTTTAAATCTATTTTGGCCTAAGTATTTTAAACTTGAGTTCTCTTACCCCATCCTCTCATCCCCAAATATACCAACACTATTCTGTAAAAATGACTTGTTTAAAAATTTTGTAGACTTTTAAAAGCTTAACAAGTAGTTCCTATTACAAATCCACTCTATTTTCCATTGCTCTCCCTGCTATGTTCCACCTTCTGGGGAAATTTGAACAAAAACTACTCACCCAAAGATAGGGCATCAGGAACAGAACAAAGAAACATTTCTACCCAGGAATCCAACCCAAGTTAGCAAATTAATTTGTTTATTGTGGTTACTTACAGTAGTAAGAATGAGGGGGTTACTTATAGAAAAAGGGACAACACAAAGACAGCTGCATCACCAAAATGCTCACCTTACTATGGGTGTCTACTCACAAAAGCAGCTCAAAGGATATTATAGTCTTCTCTCCTCATTTCAGGGGTATCCTTATATGTAAAATTTTAATTTTCTGGGTTACTATTATTTAGACAAAGCCTCTCTATGTAGCCCTGTCTGTCCTAGAATTTTCTGTGTAGACCAAGCTGGCCTCAAACTCAACTGTCTGCTTCTGCTTCCTAAGTGCTGAGGTCAAAAGTATGTGCCAAAATGCCCATCTGCTTCCTGAGCCTTAAAAGCCTCCCTCTAAAGTGGAATGGTTCAATTCAGATGAATTTGTTTCACAACACCTCCAGTTCATAAAGTTGTTCCTTGGGGCCGGGCAAGATGGCTGCGCCCGGAGGACTCTCATTCTGAGGAGCAGCACAGGAGGATTGGCACAGTGACCAGCAATCAGAACTCGCAGCCATAAAACACAAGTGATTGTGTTTTACAGGTGAGAGGATACCACATGGTGGGGATTCAATCAGCTTTAACTCACCCGGCTAAACCTCGGAAGAGATTCTGGTTCCACCAGGCACTTGGTCGCCAGCCCAGAGCTACACGCCAGCGTGATCTGGTCACGGTCCCAGACTGAACTGTGGACCTACAACACCATAGACTGGATTTCCCAGTCGAGAGATAACCCCACGCAGCAGGAAACAATTGGGACCGACCTCAGGTTACCCAGACATCCCCTGGAAAAGACTGGGGTTCCGCTGGTGCCCCAAGAGCCAGCCCAGACCCAGAGCCTGCACAGAGCCCTGCCTACGCGCCTGATTCGCCGCCTCAGATAGAACTGTGGGCACCAGGGCACCAGGGCACCAGACTGCGTGTCTCTGGCAGGAGGAAACCCCCTGTGGAGGGGGTCAGCAGCTCTAACGCTTAGGACACCCAGCACCAAAACACTTCCTGGACTCACGCAGACTCTAGTGCAGGCAGGAGCGCTGTGCTCTGCCGCCATTATTGAGTTCCCCAAGGGCACTGGGACACACAGCTGCATCCTCAGACCTACAAAAGCCAGAGAGCCATTACAGCAGCCCTCAGATACTGTGCCAAGGATCAACCAGTTATCCCTAGCTAGACTGTCAAAACTGTGGGAATCCCTGGTCCTTCAAGAGAGCTGCACCCACAGCGTCTGGACCAGAGCAGTGCCTGCAGCCGCCATCTCAGAGACACACAGCTTCTGGTCCAGAGTGAGGCACCCAGCCTCCAGAACAGAGCAGTGCCTCCAGACGCTAACTCAATTTAGATGCACATTCTCCAGGTCCAGAGCTGAGCACTCAGCCTCTGGCCCAGAGACTTGCTGAGTGCACCTCCCAATTTCCTGGACAGAGCTGTGCTCCCCAGGATAACAGACTGAGTTTCCCTGTTGGGAGAAAACCCTACAGCTAGGGAATCAGCAGTTTCTTCGACAGGACTGTACATGGAAATTTAGTGAGCAGCAGCACACTAAATTTATAACAAGAAACCCAGCAGTGGGGCAGCTGTCTTGAGAAATTCTATGGGTAAGAGGAGATCCCCCCCTGCCTAACATAGACAACAGCTACTACTCAGGGCTATAAACCTGAGGTGAGCAGTGGCAACTCCTGAGAAACACTGGCCATACAGTGACCATAACCAAAAAGCAGAGAAGGACTCCTTCAGGAAAAATCATCTTCCGGCCAAGGGGATACTCCCTACCTCAGGACTCCAGGAAGCACAGAAACTAACAGCCAACACCTAAATCAGCCCAGTGGGTAGAGGTCAGTGTAAAGGCTCAACCAACAAAAGACAGAGCAATATGGCATCTCCAGAACCCAGCCATCCAGGGGCGAACAGCCCTGAACAATGCAGCATAATAGAAAATCAAGAAGATGACCTTACATCTATGTTGATGAAGAGAATAATAGAGGAAACAAATAAAATACGTAAAGAATTAGAGGAAGATAAAACCAAACAGATCATGGCTATCCGTAAAGAAATGAAGGAAGATAAAGACAAGCAGATTAGGGCCATCCGTGAAGAAATACGGGAAGATGCAGCCAAACAGCTTGTGCCCTTCAGAGAAGAAATAATTAAATCACTGAAAGAAATAAAAGAGACAGAGTTGAAGGAACTAAAAGAAAAAGAGGAAAATGCAAGCAGACAGGTGAAGGAAGTAAACAAAACAACTCAAAACCTGAAGATAGAACTAGAAAAATTAAAGAAAACACAAATGGAGGAAATAATGGAGAGGAAGAATTTAGGGAAGAAAACAGGAACTACAGAGGTAAGCATAACCAACAGACAAAAAGAAATGGAAGAAAGAATCTCAGGTGTAAAAGATACAATGGAAGAAATCGAAGTATCTGTCAAAGAAAATGTTAAATCCAAAAAATTCCTGACACAGACCGTCCAAGAAATCCAAGACAATATGAAAAGACAAAACCTAAGAATAATAGGAATAGAGGAAAAAGAAGACTCCCTTCTCCAAGGCCCAGAAAATACTTTCAACAAAATCATTGAAGAAAATTTCCCCAAGTTAAAGGAGAAGCCAATAAGGATACATGAGGCCTACAGAACACCCAACAAATTTGACCAGAAAAGAAAATCTTCCCGCCACATAGTCATCAAAACAGTAAGTATACAGAACAAAGAAAAAATACTAAAAGCTGCAAGGGAAAAAGGCCAAGTAACATATAACGGCAAACCCATTAGAATCACACCTGACTTTTCAACAGAAACTATGAAAGCCAGAAGGGCCTGGACAGATATCATGCAGACCCTAAGAGAACACAGATGTCATCCCAGGCTACTATACCCTGCAAAACTCTCAGTCCTCATAGACGGAGAAAACAAGATATTCAATGACAAAAACAAATTTCAACAATACCTACACACAAATGCAGCATTACAGAAGACACTGGAAGGGAAAATACAACCCAAGAAAATTAGCTTCTGTCAAGAAAACACAGGAAATAATTAACCTTACTACAGCAAAACAAAAAGCAACCAAGCACACAACCTTATGAACACAGCCAACATCAAAATCAAAGGATCGAACAGCCACTGGTCATTAATCTTTCTCAACATCAATGGACTCAACTCTCCAGTAAAAAGACACAGATTAACAGAATGGATACGTAAACAAAACCCAGCAATCTGTTGCATACAAGAAACACACCTAAAACACAAAGATAGACATTACCTGAGGGTAAAAGGTTGGAAGACGACTTTCCAAGCAAATGGACCCAAGAAACAAGCAGGAGTAGCCATTCTAATATCTGATAAAATAGACTTTCAACCAAAATTAATGAAAAGAGATGAGGAAGGACACTTCATACTCATCAAGGGACAATTCCACCAGGAAGACATCACAATCCTGAACATCTATGCCCCAAATACAAGAGCACCCACATTTGTAAAAGAAACATTGATAAAATTTAAACCACATATAGATCCCC